TTTTTTTTTTTTTTTTTTTTTTTTTTTTTTTTTTTGTCTGCTAAGCTTTACAGGTTCTTCTCAAACCAATTTTCAATTTGCAGACAATATGCCTTCTTTTGGCTTACAAAATAAAATACCCAGAAAATTTCTTCCTTCTGCGAGGTAACCACGAATGCGCTAGTATTAACCGTATCTACGGCTTCTACGATGAATGTTCGTTTATTAAATAATATGCCTTATTTCTCAACTTTTTACTGTTTGTTGCAAAAGGTTTAGCTTTTTTTTTTCTTCGTGGAAACGTTTAACTGTCTTTTACAGAACCTTTGATGAGGAGCAGTAACTTTATTTTATATTTTAGGCAAGCGTCGGTTTTCAATAAAACTTTGGAAGACTTTCACAGATTGTTTTAATACGTTGCCAATAGCAGCACTTATTGATGAAAAAATCTTCTGCTGTCACGGAGGTTTATCGCCTGATTTGCAAAATATGGAGCAGATAAGAAGAATTATGAGACCTACGGATGTTCCTGATACAGGTGTAAAGGAAATTTATTTTTTTTCTGTTTGTTATGCTGGGGAGAGACCAGAAGTTAGTATTTTCTAAACAGTACATTCTTCATGATTGAAGCGTTTTAATCTGTAAAATTAACAGCGAGTTAGAAGGTCTGGTTTAAATTAACCTTTTTTCATTAATTTTTAAATAGAGCAGTTATTGAATTCATTTGATGGGGAAAGGAGAGGCATCCCACTCGGAACTTTAAAATTGGTAAGTTTACCACCTGTTAGCATCATAAGGCTCAGTTTTAGCTCAGACGAGAAACGTACAAATATGCTTAGCCAACTCTAATATTTCTTGTTTTTTGCAGGTTTATTATGTGATCTTCTTTGGTCCGATCCTGACAAGGATGTTCAGGGATGGGGAGAAAACGATCGTGGAGTTTCGTTTACCTTTGGACCTGATGTGGTTGCCAAATTTTTGAATCGCCATGACTTAGATCTCATATGTAGGGCTCATCAGGTTTGTTTCAAAATCGTTTTCAGTTTTATCTTTTTTGATCTTTCCTAGTAACTTTATAAATTGTTCTCGCAATTTTCGTTTGCTTACATCTTTGTTGTTATGTGGCACAATTAAAGTAGGGAAATTTTTGGAGAGCTCTTATTTTTAGTTAGTTTTAGTTAACTACCCGGTGATATGCAAAAATCAGAAAATACAGAAAAAAAATTTTAGTTATGAGTGCAGATTAAGAAG